ACAAAGGAGGCACGCGCGAGCGAGACTGCCCCGGGGCCGAGTTGCGGCTATCAGTGAAGTCACACTGAGGACATATGAAAAGGCGTGCGTAAGCGAGCGCGGCCACTCGTGGATAGCCAATGGGGAGCAATGGCTACTGCCCCTTAAATAGCGAGGTTGGGAGCAGAAAGGGACTCTGCTGTTGGAGAAGCTGCCGACGACCCGAGACTCTGTTGCCCTAGACGAGGGACTTCTGCCGAGAGGAGACCGACCACAGAAGGGAGGCTACTGGACACACAGGTAACGGAGCTGATGTACCAGTACAACTGACAGTAAATTACTATCTGTTATCCTGTTCTGTCTTCTCTTCCTGACACATACTGGGGGACATAACTAGTTTTGACACAGGAACACACTAGGTTACAACATCACAGATGAACATTGCCGACAAAGGCAAGGGAGAATAGAATGGTGATTTCTAGCTCATCAGTTCTCATCTAGGTGGTGTACTGCACGAGGCTTGGACACGCGACCTGTTGGTTAGGAGTCCAATGCTCTAACGAATTTTCATCTGCGCTGTGCACCGGCTGGCGGGTCTCCAGAATGAGTCCCAAGGCAGAGCGGGCCGACTGACTTCTGTTAGCTGATCCCGCATTATGTAGAAGGTCAAGCATTGGTCTGACGATGTCACATACTTAAGTGTAGTCATGGTCAAGATAGAGAGCACTGGTCTCTGTATAGGACAAAATCCCCAAGATTGTTGTTTTGTACGCCCTCTGGGCATCCGTTTTGATTTCTGTAGGGGTAAAGATGTAGATAGCCGAAACAGCTGTGACATGTGCTGTGCATTTGGGCTGCCGGGAGTCCTCACTCATTACTGTATATGTCACCGGCATATTTGTGGCGAGGTCCGTCACTATTTTGACCTTCAACATTCTAGTCTCTATTTTTGCTCGACTGACCTTTTTGTTTAAACGTATTGGACACAAAGGCTAGAAATTCAGCCCCACGTACACGACATCTGCACACGAATGCTTTATTACAATGTTATACGATTCTATTAATATTTTATATACCTTTAAGCCTTTGCCGTTTTTGATCATCATTCTATTTATGGATGATATCTTGGAGATTTCCACGACAGACGGCTCGCTAGTGCTATAACAATATATTCACGCGCAG